AAATGTGATTTCTGTAGCCAAGCTAAAATAACGAAAACGCCCCATAAATCTGTGAGTAGAGAGTCAGAACCCTTAGATCTGATTCATTCTGATATTTGTGAACTAGATGGGACGTTAACTAGGTCTGGCAAGAGATACTTTATCACTTTCATAGATGATTGCTCTGATTATTGCTTTGTTTATTTGATGAAATACAAAAGTGAAGCCCTTGATATGTTCAAGGTATTTGTGGTTGAATTTGAAAATCAGTGCAGTCGAAAGATAAAAAAACTTAGGAGTGATAGAGGATCAGAGTATGACTCTAATCCCTTCAAGGAATTCTATAGCTCACATGGTATCATTCATGAAACCACGGCACCATATTCACCAGAAATGAATGGTAAAGCTGAGCGGAAAAATAGGACGTTTACAGAATTAGTTGTGGCTATTATGCTCAATTCTGGAGCTGCTTCTTCTTGGTGGGGTGATATTTTGTTGACAGTTTGCTATGTGCTAAACCGTCTTACAAAAACAAATAGAAAAGAATCACCCTATGAGATCTTGAAGAATAAGCCACCTAATCTGTCCTATTTAAGAACGTGGGGCTGTTTGGCCTACGTAAGAATTCCGGATCCTAAGAGGATTAAATTGGCTAGTCGAGCATATGAATGTGTCTTCGTTGGCTATGCAGCCAATAGTAAGGCATATAGATTCTATGATTTGAATACTCGTACTATAATAGAATCCATTGATGCTGATTTCTTTGAGACACGATTTCCATTTAAAACTAGAAATAGTGGGGGTAATGTACTACCCGCTATTAGAGATAACGGAACTAGTGGGGGTGTTGGTTCTGAGGATGAACTCAGAAGAAGTAAGAGAGCTAGAACCTCTAAAGATTTTGGTGATGACTTTACTACAATATTCACCCTCGAAGATCCAAAAAGTCTGCAGGAAGCATTAACTTCCGTAGATGCAGATTTTTGGAATGAGGCCGTTATAGACGAAATGGAATCGTTAGAAGCTAATAAGACTTGGCATCTAACAGACTTACCTCCTGGCTGCAAAGTCTTAGGTAATAAATGGGTTCTAAAAACGAAACGAAAACCTGATGGTGCAATCAAAAGGTTCCGAGCTCGCCTAGTAGTTAAGGGCTACAGGCAGAGAGAGAATATAGATTTCTTCGATACCTATTCACCAGTATCTAGAATAACATCCATTCATGTAATGATTGCTCTTGCTGCCTTGAACAATCTCGTGGTACACCAAATGGATGTTAAGACCGCTTTTTTGAACGGTGATCTGGATGAAGAAATCTATATGGAACAACCAGAAGGGTTTGTTATCCCCGAACATGCCTCGAAAGTCTGTAAGTTAGACAAATCATTATATGGTTTGAAACAGGCTCCAAAACAGTGGCATGAGAAGTTTGACACTCTCGTTCTCTCACATGGCTTTAAGGTGAATGAAAGTGACAAGTGTATTTACTGCAAGTCAGAAAATAACACTTGTACTATCATATGTTTGTATGTAGATGACATGTTGATATTTGGTACAAATATTCACGTGGTCAATGAAGCAAAAGCCATGTTGAAAGAGAGCTTTGAAGTGAAAGATCTGGGAGAAGCAAAGTTTATGCTTGGAATCCAGATAACTAGAACAACAAATGGTTATTCTCTAGATCAATCTAGCTACATAGAGAAGATCTTGAAGAAATATAACTATTTCGACTGTAAACCTGCGTGTACTCCGTATGATGCTAGTGTAAAGCTATTTAAGAACACTGGAGACAGTGTAAGACAATCAGAATATGCTAGCATCATTGGCAGTCTCCGTTATGCTGTGGATTACACTCGACCAGACATTGCATATGTCGTGGGATTGCTTGGCAGGTTTAACAGATGTCCTAGTAGAGAGCATTGGAATGCTATAGAGAGGGTCATGAGATACCTCAAGAGAACAGCAAACCTTGGTATACACTATCAAAGGTTTCCTGCTGTACTAGAAGGGTATAGTGATGCGGATTGGAATACCCTATCAGATGACTCCAAGGCAACCAGCGGGTATGTTTTTAACATCGCTGGTGGAGCTGTATCTTGGAAGTCAAAGAAACAAACAATCCTAGCTCAATCAACTATGGAATAAGAGATGATAGCACTAGCAACGGCTAGTGAAGAAGCAAGTTGGTTGAGAGGATTGTTGTCAGAGATTCCCCTATGGGAAAGACCGGTCCCTCCGGTATTGATCCATTGTGATAGTACCGCAGCTATCGCTAAAGTTGAGAACCGGTTCTATAACGGAAAGAAACGACAGATTCGTCGTAAGCACAGTACTGTAAGAGAACTCCTAACGATAGGAGCAGTGAGGGTGGATCATATAAGATCCGAACAGAATCTAGCTGATCCTTTGACGAAAGGATTACCTAGAGAGAAAGTCCAGAATACCGCCAAGGGTATGGGACTTATGCCTACCGAACCACGGACTACAAGTGATGGTAACCCGACCCAATAGACTGGAGATCCCAAGAAATGGGTTCAATGGGTAATAACAAGTCATGAGTAGTATGCGAAAAGTTCATGCATAGTGAAGCATGAATCCCAAAGAAATGGAGGTTGAGTTAATAACTCTTAATGAGATCTATACCCTATGTGGGGTGGAGTACTTTACTTTGGGGGTACTCTTGATAGACTCACCTATGTGAATGTGGGAGTGGGGCCGCTCCCTATGGAACTTTGGAGGCACAAAGTTGCTAGAGCGTTCACTAAACCAGGGTAACGTGCATGGCCATAAACGCACGGGCTATGAAGAGAACACAACTCAATGAAAAGATCCGGTGTGCTACACTGTCTGAGATAGGGTTCAAGACTACGAGTCACCCTTATGAAATCGGAAGTGTAACCACTACGCTAAGGTTCAAATCTTCGCGATACCTTAGCTTATGCCCGATCTTATGGAACTGTTAATGCTCAGAGATAGTTTCAAAACTATTCAAGTGGGGGATTGTTGGAAATGTATATGAATAGCTTTGAAAGCTATAGAGTCTCTAGTGGAAAACTACCACATTGGTAGTTTTACTTGGTGAAATGTGTATAAAGATAGGAGCCTCTCTCCCAAGGGCATGCCCCTTGGGGTGACCCACTTTTGTGGGAGAGGGAGGACCAAACGGACCACCACACACGCGCGCGCCGTCCGTCTGTCCGGCCGGCTGGCCGGTCGGTCGGTCGGTTGGTTGGTTCACTTGAGACTACATATATATTTTTTACAGAAATTCCGAACGAAATTAATTATCTAATAATTAATTATTAATCGGTTATTCTGAGGAATATTCTAAGGGATATAGACTGAAACACAATAGAGAGAGTGTTTAGAGAGCTTCGGTTTTCGCACAAAACCGCGAGTATTGAGAGGAGCTGTTTTATCCTGGAGACGACCGGTTGATAGTCTGCCGTGCGCATCGAAGGCAGTGCCGCGAACGTCTTAAAGAGAGCGACCTAGTCCGCGACTCAGCTCCAGATTTGGTAACCTCGTTCCTTTTTTTGTTCCGTTCCTAACAGAAATAGGCGCTTCATCTCCCCCACCAGTCACCAGAGACGATCGAGATCCACAAAATCCATCCTCGACGATGACATGAATTAAATTGGCGTTCCATATTTCTCTGAATGGCTGAAGGTCTTCAAGACGAGAGCAAGAACTGAACATCTCGAGTCTACGAACTAAAGAGATAGCCGAATTGGGGATTCCCTTCACTATTGGGACCAAATCAATGGCTGAAGGAGGGGATCCCAGTTCTAGTATGACACCCTGTTTTGAGCAAGAACTTCCACCTCGACGCAAAGGGCAGCAGCATGGAGTCGCATTTCATGCCGGCGTCAGCGCCGATGCCTCCATCGTCAACTAGCCAAATCCAAACTTAAAAGAACACCGATGATACGGATGGACTCACTTTTTTAGGTGCACTGATCTCTAAAAGTGTCCATAATACATCAAATTTTGAACTTTAATTAGTACTTTCAATCTAATATTATGATATGACATAGAATCATAACAAATCAATCTATTACCCTAACCCCTTAACCTTCAATTTTCAATCCCAATGCAAAATCTCAAACTGTAAACCTAAATCCTAACTCTAAACCCCTAATCCTAAATCCTTCAAATTAAAGTAAATTTGAAATGATATTTTTTCAAATTAATGTGCTTCTTGTTCATAATATCATAAGGAACAATTGATACCATTTTGACATGAATCGCATGCTCAGAATGATGATTATGAAACGGGTGCAGTGAGTGCACCCAAAAAAGTGGTTGCGCCGCATACAACACCATATATATAAAAGCTAATTGTATGTTGTAGTGTGATCGTCATGTTGATATAATAAGATATGAGATCGTAGAGGCAATCTCTCTCATGGACTAGTCCCTAATCTCGTGGATATCATATATGCTACAAGAAAACTAGCCTATAGAAGCAGAGTTTATTTGCTTCCAAATGATATTTATTTTCATTTATATATCTATTGAGTCAAATGCACTATTTGCATCGGATGCCTCTATCTAGGGCTGGCATTTCGGTTAGTTCGGTTATAACCGATAACCAAAATTCCGGTTACCGGTTAACCGAGACAGGAGAGGTGACTACCGCCAACCGACCGAAGAAAAGCTTCGGTTAGCCGGCAACCGACCGGTCAGTTACCGGTTAGTTGCTCGGTTAACCGAAGTAACCGCGGCTGGGCACTAGCTTTGATGAGGAATCAAATTGGAAAAAGAAAGACAGATGCTAAACCAAAAGCCGCAAGCAATCCCTACCCCTTTTGCTCTAATTATGCATTAGATAGATTCCTGCCCATCATTTTGATCCCCTACCTTTACAACAACACCCTGACACATTACATTCTCCCAATATAGCTCCTCCCTCCCTGCTAGCACTCTCCCCCTTCTCGATCTGCACCTCCATCTCCATTCTTCACTCTAATCATCAATTCGAAGAATGAAATTCTGGCTCCTAAGACAAAATAAACTTACATAATTTAATGGCTACAACAGAGGAGCACTGGTCGTCGTTTGGTAAATGGCGCCGGCGAGCAGAGGCGGCAGGTCGCGGGCTCGCGGCGGCGGAAGGAATTGGATGGCTGGCGGGCGGCGGCGATGGCGGAGGGTCTCGACTCTCGCCGTCTCGCGATGGCAGGCGGCAGCGGTAGGGATCAGCGGCAGGCGGGAGGCAGTGCCGGCAGGAGGCTCTCGGCTCCAGTCTCCACTCTCGGATCTCAGCCTCTCGCGATGCGCAGAAGAGATTGAGGGATTGAGGGTCTACAGTGCGGCGTCGATTAGGGTAGAGGCCCTAGGGAGAATCTCGGACACGGCGGCGTCGTTTTGCTTGAGGCCGGCTAGTTGTGCCGGATAGCCGGATAGTCGGCGAGGTTGAGATCCATGATGGCCCATACAATGTTATCAAAAACTGGAACTACGCTGGCCTTGTGGAGCACGACCAGGCTCGCTACCGCCAACCGCCCGCATCTCCTTTTTTTGGTTATTCGGTTAACCGGTAATCGCCGGTTATCTGTTTAACCGGCCGGTTAACCGGCAACCGATAACCGAATGACCCGCCCTACCTTTATCTTTAATTCGTTTTAGAGTCAAAGGTAAAAACAATTAATATATCCTACTAATTATAGAATTGGAATCAAATTTATTTAATTGTGAACCTCCTTTAATGAGTTTGTCTTTTGCCTTCTTATTTACGTTTAGAGGAAGATACATTTGTTTGCAATGTTAGTTTTTCATGCAATTATATTTGCTTTTAAATTACCCATTGAAGACATAAATATTTGTCTCTAATGAAAACATTTCGAGTCAAATAAATTTATTGCTTCTTTTGTTTTGAGTTTCAAATAATATTATTTTATATTGCCATTAATAATCTGGAGAACATTGGTTTTCCGAAAATAAGAATATTTTGATTATACAGATCAAATACATGAATTGGTTGCATCAAACTAAATACATTGATTTTGTTTACATTTCGAATGCCAATTTAGTTTAACAACGAAGAAACTACACTAACAATTTATCTTTAATGATGGAGTACTACCGAACTCTTCCTCTCTCCCTCGTCATCACTTTTCCATTGTTGCTGTTGCACTTGAAGTCTTGAACCAAAAATCTAGATAATCACATAAACCTATGACTCACACGAAACTACACCCCAAATTAATCCCGACTAGAGCCCAAGTTTTTAAACTCTATCCAGGTGCAGTATAGGACAAGTATTTAATCGTCAAACCCGGTCCGGTCCATGTACCCCTACTTCAATCGCTTAGGTTGTTATCTAGCAAAACGGTTTTGGGTTTAAAACTAAGAAAACTACAAATAAAAACAAGCAAGTAAAGTAAATTGAGGTCCTCCCGAAGAGAGAAGAGTTCACTCGGGTGTTGCTCCCCCTAGCTAACAAGTACGACTTGGTGGATCGAAGGACCGTGTGTGGTTCGGGGGTCATAAACCGCAGGGAAGTCTAACAAGCACCCAAAGCTACCATCTTAGCCTCTAGGTTGAGGAATGTGATACGATCCAACCCACTAATATGACCCTCTAAACCTATCGACTAAGGAATGATTAGACTTCACCCTCGAATTGGAGTTCAGACGGCTACCTATAACCAAACCCTAAGTGCTAATGCGAAATAGGAGGTTTTCCCTTTAACTAACCTAGAGTATGAGGCATAATATGCCCAAGGAAACCCATCTCTAATAGAGCCTCTTAGCTCAAGGAGGGTTCTCTCTAAACTAGTTTAGGAGGCATTAAATGGCCAAGGAAACCCATCTCTAATAGAGCCTCTTAGGTTAAGGAGGGTTCTCTCTAAACTAGTTTAGGAGGCATTGAATGCCCAAGGAAACTTAGGTCAAATTGAGCCTCATTGGATAAAGGAGGTTTCCTCTCTAAACTAGCATAAAAGGCATGAAATTCCTAAGAACACCCATCTCAAATTGATCCTCTTAACCTAAGGAGGTTCCCTCTCTAAACTAGCCTAGGAGGCATGAAATGCCCAAAAACACCCATCTCTCAGTATTGAGCCTCATAACCTTAGGAGGTCTCCTCTCTAAACTAGGTTAGAATGGCAATTAGATTGATAGGCTTTCACACAACACAATCATTTCTAAATAATACCTTCACATTCACATTAAAACACAACCACACACAAATCATTCAATTCATACAACCATTCGCATAATTGTAGCTAGGGTTTACAAAAACCCAAGTGAAAGAAGGGACTACTCCATGCTTGGGGGAGGAATTCCCAAAACCTTGCTTGGAGATGAAACCCTAACTTTTCTTATTCTTTGGTTCATCACTTTCTCACTCTAAAATCTGAAGACGGAGAAGTTTCTCCCACTAGGTCTCCTCCCCCCTCTTCTTCCTTTCAGCTGGCCTTTTAAGTTGAGATCGCGCCCAGTTCACGGTCGTGAACATTGAAACGCGTCAGTGAACTCAGTGCTGAGACCAAAACGCACCGGTTCATTGGCTCTGGTGCACGGCCAGTGGCTCTTTTCTCGGTCTTAGCGACCGTGAACAGCGTGGGCGTCAGTAACCTGAAAACCCTCTCTGGACGCTCTTTGGTTCACGGGTTTTGGCTTCAGTTCACGGCCTTGTAAGAACGTGAACTCCAACACCGGCCAGTGAACATTGACTGTCTCCACCTCTTTTACCGGTCTTTGCTCCTTTTCTTCCAACTTGCGACTCCGGGTTTGGTTTTACCTGTTATGATCTTAAAAACACTGAAACACAAGCAACATCGCGTAATACCAACCTTTTTAGAGTTCAATTGCAACAAACGTCAAAGAGAATCGGAGATTAAAAAAAAAAGTGTACAATCAGGCTCGAATCAACCTATTTCTCGACTTGGCCTCTACTTGTCGCCACGGACCATCACTATTATCGCGAGCAAAGTTGGGTAAAATCAACAATCATAACCTACAAGGAAAAAGAACAAGTACCTTAAGAAGATCAAGAAAACAAATTACTTTATTGATGAAATTATTGACAATCACAAGAGTGAAATAATAAATTATCAGCTAGCAATATAAACCCAAAACGCTATATAGGAGAATGGACTAACCAATCATAATTTAATTGGTTACTTAGTGATCGAAAATAATGAGCTCAACTTCTAACGGGAAGAGATCTCCAAACCTTTAAGCAATACACCATTGGCGCATAAAGGGCCAGATGGGACAAGAATAGATCTTGATGTGCAAGAAGATGGAAATAGAGGTTGGTTTTGTTCACCAGTTGATTCGATGACGAGGAGACGGTGGACGAAGAAGAAGACACGCCGGTGGTTGCGGATCTATTCTCAAATTAAAGTTATAACTAAACCCACCTTCAGGATATAGATCTATGCTCCATGGCAAAAAAGATATAGATCTATTCTCACCATCGTGGTGGTGGAACGCCATTGTTAGCATGTAAGCATGTCGCCTTCCCATCGCTTAGGGAAGTCCTTCGCTCCAACCTCGCCATCGAGATCCAAAAAATAACTGTTGGTGGTTAAAGTTGTTATATATATCACCCCTACAATTATGGAACTAACCTTTAAAAGTTACATTTGTAATTATCTTTAAAAACTGTTAAATTTCTCTCTATATGATATATAAAATAAGTAATACTGTGAATTTCAACTTTGGGAAGACACTCTCGACAAGAGATAAATAGCTTGTAGAGATAATTGAGCTCCGAGTTTTCCGGAGCGCAACCAAAAATATTCCAAACCCTAGCGGCTTTGTCACCGATGAGCGAACTCTGCTTGGGGCTACTCCCCCAATGCTGAAACTACTGGACTCCTGTGTTGGGCAATGTCGACCAAAATTGGTGTCTTCCTCGCTGAATGGTAAGGGGGATCTTGAAACCCAACACACAAAAAAGAAGGCTCGACCGATGTGTGCAAATCCGTTGTTCGTCGCTGACGAGATGGTGGAAGACCCCGAGATGATTGTGACTGAACCTACCATGGAAGAAAGCATAGCTTTTGCAGACGGAGATCCCACCCTCGGCATGAGGAGTAGGGACAGGAGCAAAAAAACTTTTATCCGACGTCATCGCAGAAGATGCATGTTATATTGCAGAATCAGAATTTGAAGATGTTGTTGAAGCCATGAGCATAAAAGAACTGGATGACGAGGTGTCAGAGGATGACGATCTCGGCTGCCCTATGATTCTGTTCACGTCCATGGAGAAGTAGTTGTATCGTCGTAAATGTAGCACATCGCTTATTGTTAAAGCTTGGGACGTATGTTTCCGTTCCCTGTGATCTCCCGACGTTTGGAAATGCTATGGGAAAGGATAACTACCTCCAGATTTCAAGTCTTTCCTATGGGTACTATGTGGTAAGATTTACTCACCAGATGGACTTCGAGCAAGCAAGGCTAGGAGGACCATGGTTGATTGGAAATCACTACACCACCATGCGCCCCTGACGGAAAATTTTTACCCGAAGAGCGCCGAAGTTGTATCAACGTTGGTATAAGAAAGGGTGTCTGAGCTGCTAGTCGAGTTCATGAACCGTGAGGCTGTGGAATGGATTACCTTACGGATTGGGAAACCGGAGAAAGTAGATAGAGCGACCATGACGGGTGATAGGGTAAAGTTTAGTAGAGTGTGCATGGAGATAGATCTTACCAAATCGCTATTTTCTCAGTACAAGATTGAAGGAAAGACCTACTACGTCATGTTTGAAGGGCTTGACAACCTTTGCATAGAGTGCGGGAAACAATGTAGTCAAATGCGCGTTTATATGCAGAAGCGGAAACATGAATAAAAACCTCAAACATAAAAGCGTAGCGTAAAAGCGTAAGTTTTTGTGTATAATATGATAAACCTTCAACAGAATAAATGTCTCGTTTAAAAAGTCACTACTCATGTAGATAATCTAATTTGAAAACTTTTAATAATGGAGCAAACATACAACTAAACCAACAATGCATTAAAAAAATAATGAAATTTCTTCATTCATAAAAAATATAACCAATAAACATCTACTCCTCATTATCAGTCGTTTTTTTAATATGGATGTCAAATTAAACAAAATTAATAATGCATCTTTTATTATAAGGTCTTCATCCATTGAACGCAAAAGATTTCTAGAGAACGAAGGTGCACAAATCTGCACCCTCATTCATCTCCTTTGCTTCCCCCTTTACATTCCTTTCTTTCCTCTCCAACTACCCATACCCTCATCACCACCAACATCAAAGCTTGAAGGAACCAAAAAAATATAGGGGGAACTAGAGCTAGAAATTGGAAAGAAAAGAAGAAGGAAAGGACGAGAGGAGTAAAGGTGCTAGATAATTTTTGTTTTGCACCAAAGTAGTGAGTTCAAGAGGAGATTACTATAAAACTCCGTCGTTGGATCGTCCTCAAACCTTTAGGACTAGTTTATAACTCATTTTAAGTTGGGTTGATCGTCCGCATTGATGTTATGATATCTGGTTTGTCAGAAGAGAGGGTCTGAAATTGATGGAAACTCATTCAACTAGAAACTCATTTCACCATTTTTTACCGCTTTTTATAAGTTTTGACACATAATACATTTTTATATAAAAACTGAAGCATTTTGTCTAGTCATAAACATAAAAAGTGTGCTTTGTGTTTTAAGACGTGCTTTTTACTACATTGGCGAGAAATATGGGCACTCGTCCAAATCATGCC